GTCTGATATGGGATGCCAGCATAGTAAGTTTGAATTTCTTAAGAGTCACTGTTTATCTAATGATTCTTTTAAAGTATAAATTACGCAAATATAAAAGGAGAAAAAAAGATGTCCTTTGAAAGTTACTGATTAATTATTCACATGACAATTCCAAAGTCCATTTGGGTTTCTAAACTACCCTAGGCAATTCCAACAATCCAGTTTTTCAATTCTAGCCCAAAAGAACCATTTCACTTGATCTTAGCCAAAGACTAAGAGGTGATAGAAAACCATTCCTATTTATAATTTTACACCTCTAGAATTAAAAAGCTATCTTTCAAAACTGATCTAGTGAGAGCTAAAACTGTAGAATTATAACTCAAATTGGAAGTAATATTTGAAGACACTGATTTTATCATCTGAACATTACCCAGCATTTTCTGACATAAAGTAATTCATTTCTGACAACTTGAAATTGCCGACAGTTACCCCAAGGTGTAATGTCAAGTACAAGTGAAAGTACTCCTTTCACTTTAAAAAGGCCCCTGTACATATTCCTCAACTACGCCTGACGTGACGGGAAAGCTCAGAAGGCAGTGAATAAGCACCCACGAAATGTCAACTCAAAAAGCCTGTCAGTAAAGACATCACCAGGGCCCAGCGCGATAGCGTAACAGTTAAGGTCCTCGCCTTGAACGTGCCCGGGATCCCATATGGGCACTGGTTCTAATCCTGGCAGCTCCACTTCCCATCCAGCTCCCTGCTTGTGGCCTGGGAAAGCGCTCCTGGCTTCAGATCAGCCACAACAGCCACTTGGGGAGTGAGCCATCAGACGGAAGATCTTCCTCTTTGTCTCTCCTCCTCTCTGTTCATCTGCTTCTCCAATAAAACAATTAAAAAAATAAATCTTAGAAAAAAAGACATCACCAGCGCTCCACTGCCATCTGGAGCAGCAGCTGCAAGGCCAGGCTGGAGCTCACGGCAACCAACGGGAGGCCCGGCGGCCGGGTTTGAGACAGGCATGGCTGACCCTCCAGCATCCTCTCCAAGCTTTGGTTGAACACGAGCTTTAGTAAATTTAAACATCAGTCATCGTCACAATTCTGTACTATCCAATGCAATGGTCCCTTAACAACCGTCTGTCAACTGCCACATTTTAGGGGGTTAAATTTATCATTTTGGTAGCCACAAGAAGAAAGTGGGGGCCCTGAGGTGTGGACTAACCTTAACACACATGCATGTAAAAAGCAAACAAACAAACAAACAAAACTTGTGAGACCCACTCTTCAGTGTGACAATTAAAAATAGTAATAAAACACACAACAACTTTTCATTCAGCTATGTGCCAGGGACAGCGTTGCCAAGACCAGTACAATGGCTCAATGGATAAATCCTCACCTTGTAAGCACTGGCATCACAAACAGGCGCTGGTTCATGTCCCAGCTGCTCCACCTGAGTGGGAGTATTGGAAGAGGCTCCTGGCTCCTGGCTTTAGAGCAGCTCAGCTTTGGCTGTTGTGGCACTTGAGGAATGAACCAGTGGACAAAATATCTTTCTATCTCTCCTTCTCTCTGTATATCTTCCTTTCCAATAAAAATAAATAAATCTTTTTTAAAAATAAATGGGACAGTACTGCCTTGAGAGCAGAAAGAAAAAAGTACTCTATGGGGGTTCATATGTTAGATAACCTGACATAGTTTAGGGGAGGAAAAAAAAACTTTAGGTGGTAGCAAGGAGGAAAAACAAACAAAAAAAGCCCAGAATCATCTTTGTAGATTAACTAGAAATAAATTATTTACACCCTATTTGTCCTCTATCCCTCACTGGCCCACATCACGCTCTAACCAAGCTCAGCTAACTGTGGTCCTGGCCCAAACCCAGCCAACTACCCATTTCTGCAAATGGGGTTTTACTGCAACACAGCTCCAGCCATGAACTTGCTTGCTGCCTGTAGCTGCAAATGAGACCAGATTAAAAAAACAAATTTCAAACATGGACCATCTACTCCCTTAGGCAATCCTCTGTGACATTATCTAGAATAATTTTGCTTTGTTTCTCCTTACTCACAGGTGGTCTGACTACTTCACTAGAAAAAAGAAAAACCCTGGGGGTCGGCAGGACAGCTCAAATGGCTAATCCTCTATCTTGCAAGCGATAACGGCACTGGTTCGTGTCCAGCTGCTCCACTGCCCATCCAGCTCCCTGTTTCTGGCCCAGAGCTGTGGGACCCTGTACCCACGTGGTAATCCCAGTAGTGCCTGCCTCCTGGCTTCAGACCAGCTCAGCTCTGGCAATTCTAGCCATTTGGCAGGGTACCAGCAGACAGATCTTTCTCTCCTTCTCTCTTTCCGTAAGTGTGGTGGATGGAGAACATCCACCCAGAGAAGAGGGCATGAGCGCTTCCCCTCTCCCGTTCTATAGGAATTGTGCCAACTGCTCACCCTGTCACTCTACTGAAGCCAGTCTCCTGGGCGAACCAACAGGATGAACCCAGGGCTTGTCCCTCAGTGCTCGCCTTCCTGGGGCAGAGGGCCCACACGCTTCTCCCTGAGGCATCTGGCACAGCGCACTGTGTCACCACGCTGGCCCAAGTCACCGCCATCACCCTTCACACTCAACACAACAGCTGGGATGATCAAATCTAAATCAGCGGGTGTCCGGCCACCTCTCTTTCCCCTTCAGGTGCAGGCTGATCCCGTTTGGTTTACCTGAGAGAACCCATCGCCCCTAGTGCCCGCTGCTCCGGACCCGTCCGCAAGCAATGTGGTACCAGGGCCATCCCAGCACCTTTATGCCAGCTAGTGGGAATGAACCAGGACTTGCGGATCAGGCACTGGGATGAAACATTGTGTCACCCAATGGGCAGACGGGTGAGGCTTGCAGGGAGTTGGGGTTCAGCTCAGATGGGCATATACTCCGCTCACAGTGCTGTTCCTGGGCGCAAGGTGCACGTGTCAGCAGCGGAGGGACATGAGGAAGCGCATTCCGAGGGAGGAGGGAGAGGAGGACGGCCCAAGCCAAGTGTGGGTGGAAAGTTTCAGAGAAAAGGGGTTTCAAATGGAACCTAGTCAGACGGGCCAAGAACCAACAGCTCACGTCCTCACAGGGACTGCAACCCTGATCTCGTTTTAACAAGAGAAAGACAAAAAGCCCGATCTTAAAAAAAAAAAAAAAAATCATCCTGCTGACTCCTTCCGCGGTGTTATCAGGTGGGAATGGCGGAGCTGTCACTAGGGTCGGGGAGGACCGGTCACCGCTCCCACAGCCTGAGGGGGTCTGCGTGCCCCATCACCAGAGGGGTCCCTACCCCGAGGTAACCCCCCATGGCCCCTTCCTCGGCGTCCCAGTCAGGAGAGGCGCCCCCCATCCCCGAGGTCGCCCTCCCGTGCGCATCCCCCGCCCGTTTCCCGGCTCTCGGCGAGGGGAGCCCCCAAAAAGGCCCCGCACCCCGCTGCGATCCGGGGCGCGAAACCCCGCCTCACCACGGCTCCGGCCACGGCGTGGACCAGGCTTTCGTAGGACAGCACCGAGGCCATCGCAGCGGCTCCCCTGCACACCAGGACAAACTTTCCCAGCCGGTGTGGCCCCGCGGGGAACGAGGAGACACCTCGTCGCCCAGGGCCAAATCGCCGCCGGCCCCGCCCCCTCAGCCGGGCCGCCTCCTCCTGGACAACCGCTTCCGGGTCGCCGGGCGCCCTCTGCCGCCCGCGCGGGCAGCGCCTGACGGGCCCGGCGTTCCCTCACGTTCTCTGGCACCGGGCGTTCCCTCACGTTCTCTGGCACCGGGCGTTCCCTCACGTTCTCTGGCACCCGGCGTTCCCTCACGCTTTCTGGCACCCAGCCTGCACTCGGCGGGCCGTCGGCGGCTGCGGCCTCTCTCTGTGAAGAGGGGAACTGTGACCGTGGAAGCTCTCCCTCCGGAGCGACCCGGGAGCGTCTGGAGGTCTCCACGTTTCTCCTCGCGGGTCCCTCCGCTGTGCAGCGACGTTACGATCGGCACTCCCACTTGCTTTGCGGACTAAATAGCTCATTTACGTAGACCTGTCTTAAACACTCTGAGAAGCTAGAAGACGCATCCAACCTGCACCCTGTCGGCTTTGTAGGCAGCCCGCTTCACAACATCCTGTTTGCAGTGATCACTTTACCACGTGCCGCACTCGGTTCACGCCTTGCATCACGCCGAATAGCAATGTGTAACTCAGTCATTTCTGCACCCCCCTCCATCAGCATTTAATAACGTGGAGCTGTAGTGAGCACAAGCCGTATGAGAGGACGAGACATACTTAGTTTGGTATCTTTTTAAAAAATGATTGATGTATTCATTTGAAATGCAGTAAAACAGAGAAAATAGAACTTCCACCCGCTGGGTCACTCCCTAAATGGCCACAACTGTCAGGACTCGGCTGCACTGAAGTCAAAAACATCTCGGCTTGCGTTCAGTGGCACTTCCGGCAGGCAGCTAAATCACGAACACACAGGACAGCAAGTCACTCAGACAGCAGCAAACTTGAAGTCTCCTCTCACAGGCCCCTCAGACTGGGTACAGTCAGAACACACAGGATTATGCGAAAAAGTTACAGCACACTTTAACTTCCATCTCAACTTCTAGAAGATATTACTGCCCAAGAAAAGACTGGCTGAACTGAAAACATCGTAGAACCATTCTAGGAGGTATTAGTGCCAGTGAAGACACCGCATGGGACTTGGCATCCTAGGAGTGCTGGGTTAGAGTTCTGACTTTGCTTTTGATGCCAGCAGGTGAGGGCTCAAGGGAGGCCAGACTTGTGGCCATTTGTGGAATGAGCTAGCAGACTGAACACCCGCCACCCTACCTTTCTCTATCAACCAGTCTAAGTCCTGGCCAAGTGCCCGGCTTAACCAAGAGTGCTAGTCAACTCCTTAGCCCACACAGTGTATCTTTAGGCGTCCTTGCTAATAACAATTCATCATCTGTAGCCGACTGTGCGCTGCAGATATGGACACAATGCGGGAAAGGGGAGGGGGCAAAGAAAACATGCACGTTTTGAAATTGTGTTTTATTTTAACATAACTAGAAATATCCAGTAATTTTAAGCAGAAGCAAACTCCACCTTCTTGACTCAGCATCAGTACAAGAACAGAAATGTCTCTGGTTTGATTAGAAGTGATGTTAAATCTTTATGAAAATGAAGACAATTTCTTGTTTGTGGAATTCAAAAGTCTGAAAGTACATGAACACATTTCCAGAAAAACAAGTTTACTTTTGCCTGTCTAAGCCAATATGGAAATACTAGAATATACTCAGGTAACATAATGAAATCCAGTAAGGAATCCAGGTTAAACTGGTCTTCTCGAGTTAAGCACAGCACACATTGGAAATTTTGAGAAAGGAGAACACACATTAACAAAAAGAATTATGGCAAGCCCAAATGCAAGTTTAGTGTTTTAACAGATTTATAAAAACCATGCTCTCTTAGCATACACTTTTTCTCATCAATATAACAGATGCCATTTCCATCTGCTTGTGAAGAGCAAAGGGTAGGAACCTGAAGATGTCAGAGGGGTGCCATTTTAGGAATACACTTCCTGGGATTTATCCTCATTTTCCGTATCTTTGGAGGAAGGAGGAAGGCAGAGGCGGTGATATGGTTGCGTTATTTAAAGAAATGATGAATAGGAAGATAGACTGAGTATCAACAACTCATAACTTTTTTTTGCAATTTAAGATTGAATCAAGAATTAGACTCCTCTCCACGTGTGAAGTCATTCAGATCTTCTGCTGTTCAAAATATGAAGGTCAACAGCACAAGATGAACTCAACTGCAGTAGGTGTGTCCAATACTCAAGGAGATTCTCTCCTCCTGTCTTCTGATACAACGTGTTGTCAGAGCTGCCAACACTTACGTAGGTAACCTTGTGCCAAGTAGGAAATCATGGCTGTTACAGGCATTTCCCTAGAACCACCATGTGTACTCCATGAGATTAAACCAGCATTAACTATGCTTGTACAATTCTATTGTACACGGGAACACTGGTGAGGCTGCTAGTGGAAAAGAAGACGAAGGGAAAATGTGACAAACAGAAAACAGAGTTGGGTAGCTTTTATCAGGAAAGGTAATTTTAAACAGAATTATATAAAAAACAGTCTTTTATCTCCTCTACATGAAAATGAAGAATTTACTTGACACACTGGACAAGCAGAGCTGAGGAACCCAGCTGTTGCAGTACCCCTTCCCCACAGTGTAGACTCCAGTGTGCCCTGCCTGAGGTGTAGGTGCGCAACGCAGTGACAGACCGCCACCCTGCCAAGGACTTCCAGTCCCTACCCAAGTCATACTGAAACACTCGTGGTCCCTATAGCTTTATCGAAATAAATCATTTCATTTTTGAAGAATAAAGCATTTAAAAAGATAAAATGCTTCAGTAACCATTTACCCAACTAAACTGTCATCTGTTTAAATGATATATATATATATATATGCTGCCATCTAATAAATCTTTATTCCACTCACACTAGAGCAGTCTATCTTCTGTTCTTGTGTGTTTTCCTTGCCCAGTGAGTCAAAGGAAAAAAATCCCAAAATGATTAGCAAAGAAAAATGGAGGAATTAACACCCTTTTAATTTGTTTTAAATATTTTTAAGGTTTAAAAAACTTAAAGTTTATAATTCCTAGTAGCAAAACATTATCTGGATGAATGCCCTAATGGCAAACCACTGTCAAATGCTTCAGCTGCGTTCGGTGCAGAGGACTGGGCCGTGACCTCACAGCCAGCTCTCGGCCAGGTGGGAGGTACACTGGTTTGTATTATTGCGACATCCATTAGGTGACCAGGCTGCTTATCCTTCAGAAGGGCTTTGTTGGAAGGGCATTATGCTTGACCTCCAAATTTGGCTGACAATTTACTGATGAGATTCATAACCTTGGGGTTGTTCTGATACTTTGACATATTTGCTGGGTTCTGGGCCACATCTTGGAATGCCACCATAACTTCTGGATCCTGAAAAAGAGGAGGAGATGGTTCTTTTAGGCTTTTTAAAGTTATCCTGTTGGGGGAATAAGTTTATTATCCTATTGCTAACTGCTTATTAGGCCCATATTTTGTCAAGGTTAAGGTAACTAGGGTTTAGAACAGTTCCTGAGATACAAATATTATGAATGTGCATTTCAAAAGCTTAAGCTCAGTTATGTCCCTTGAACTAAATATTGAAAAACAGCACATGCAATTTTGATACAAATACCAGTGACTCCTGCACTATCCATAAATCATTTTAAAACTTAACTTTCTGTAAGGGCCCTGTGCAATGGCCTAGTGGCTAATATCCTTAGCCTGCATGCACTGGGATCCCATATGGGTACTAGTTCATGTCCCAGATGCTCCACTCCCCTTCCAGCTCCCTGCTTGTGGCCTGGGAGAGCAGCAGAGGATGCTCCTGGCTTTGGGTTGGCTCAGTTCAGGCTGTTGAAGGCACTTGGGGAGCAAGCCAACAGTCAGATATTTCTCTCTCTGTCTGTAAATCTGACTTTCCCAATAAAAATAACAGATCTTTCTGCCTCTGTAAATCTGACTTTTCAATAAAAATAGATCTCTTTAAAAAAACTTACGAACTCAAAACAATTAAAATTAATGTTACACCTGAAAAAGTACCTTTCTGGCAACCAAGATCAATATATTTAAATTAAAAAAAAAAAACACACAATAAAACCACCCTACACCGACTGGGGCCAACAAGGTGGTGCAGCGCTTGCAGAGCCCCCCAGCAACCTGCTCATGGCCAAGGAGAAGCAGTGGACAGTGGTCCCTGCCAGCCACCTGGGAGATCTGGAGAAAACTCTGGAATCCTATAAGTAGGGCCAGCCCTAGCTACTGCTGCTACCTGGGGCATGACCAGTTGCTGAAAGATTTCTGTAACTCCTTCAAACAAACAAAAACCCAAATACACAATGCCTGGGCATAATCTGTCTTCATCGAGAACTATTAAAAAAAAATACCCTAATCATATAAAGATCAAAGGTCTTACCTGCATGGCTGCAAGAACCTCAGGGTCACTGAGGATTTCATTGAGTCCAGGCATGCCTGCCATTCCAGGCATCCCCCCTGCCATTCCAGGCATTCCTCCAGGAAAGCCACCAGGCACCCCCCCAGGAAAGCCACCTGTAAGAGCAAATCAAAGAAAGGCACAGACGTCAGTCAGATACACACACAGGAAGAACTGAAGTGCAAATCAAAGACCTGTACAGTTCAGACATCTGACACACCCTCCACCGGCTGGGTACACACACTCAACTCTAGCTTCCAATTTTCCCTTAAAAATAAACTGACACTTTACATTAACCTTCTGGATCTATTATTTCCTAACAGTAAAACTGGCAAATAAAATGAATGTTACTTTAGAGCGCAGCTGACAGTCCATCAGGATTATAAAACCATTCTTCCTGTTTTGAACATTTTAAATTTAAATTCATATAAATTTACTGTTGTTTTAAAATCGTCACCATATTGACTGCAAAGCAGTTATTCCTTCAAGAATTAGTTAAGAGGCTTTTTAAAAATATGGTGATTGTCCTGATTTCTACGCCTTTTCAAGAGAATCAACATATCTGAAAATGAAAACCTGCATGCTGCTTTCATAGGAGCACTGCTCTATTCTACAGTAGAAAGCAGGATGAGGTAAACAGATTTCCAGGAGCCCAGCACTGAGCCCCGCGCGGCAGGGACCCCAGGGGCACTGCAGCCCCTCACCTGGGGGTGCATCAGCAGGAAGCTGGAAACAGAAGGAACCAGAATTTACCCCACACAATCAGATACAGGATGTGGCCCCAGGAGTCACTTTTGTTTTTCACTTTTTCTTTCTTAAGATTTATTTTATTTTTTTTAATTGGAAAGTCAGAATCCACCGGTTCACTCCCCAAGCAGCTGCAATGTCTGGAGCTTTGGCAATCCTGAGCCAGGAGCCAGGAGCCTCTTCCGGGTCTCCCACATGGGTGCAGAGTCCCAAGGCTTTGGGCTGTCCTCAGCTGCTTTCCCAGGCCACAAGCAGGGAGCGGGATGGGAAGTGGGGCTGCTGGGATTAGAATCAGCACATGCAAGGTTAGGACTTTAGCTGCTAGGCTATTTTACCAGGCCCCCTGACATCACTTCTTAAAACAAACAAAAAACCCAGTTATCTCTATGTTAAAGAAATAAGTCATGATTTAAATCCAATTTTCTTTTTCTTTAAACAGCAAGTTGGAGGCCAGTGTTGTGGTACAAGTTAAACTGATGGCTGCAATACCAGCATTCCATATATGAGCACCGGCTTGTTATAGCTGCCCCACTCCTAATCCAGTTCCTGCTAATGTGTCCGAGACACCACAGGACAATGACCCAGCACTTGGGGCCTGCCACACGAGGGAGACCTGGGTGCAGTTTGTGGCTCCTGGCTTCAATCTGTCTAGTCTAGGCTGTTGCAGTCACGTGGGGAGTAAACCACAGGATGCATCATTTCTTTCTGTTGAAATTCCTTGCAAATGAACTTATTAATTTTTTTAAAGATGTATTTATTTGAAAGGCAAATTTATAGAAAGAAACAAAAGGGGAAGGAGGAGATGGGAGAGAGATCTTCCAACTGCTGGCTCACTCCTGAAATAGCCTCAACAACCAGAGTTGAGCCAATCCAAAGGCAGGAGGCACAGGGACCCAAGGACTTGGGCCATCCTCCCCTACTTTGCCAGGCCATATGCAGGGAGTTGGATCAAACTGGCATCCATATAGGGTGCTGGCTCCTCAAATTAAAATTTTTTTTAAAGATTTATTTTTAATTATTTTTTTTTATTGGAAAGGCGGATATACAGAGAGGAGAGACAGAGAGGAAGATCTTCCATCCAATGATTCACTTCCCAAGTGAGCGCAACGGCCGATACTATGCCGATCCGAAGCCAGGAGCCTCTTCCGGGTCTCCCACACGGGTGCAGCGTCCCAAAGCCTTGGGCCGTCCTCGACTGCTTTCCCTGGCCACAAGGAGGGAGCTGGATGGGAATCAGGGCAGCCGGAATACGAACTGGCGCCAATATGGGATCCCGGGCGTGCAAGGCAAGGACTTAACCACTTGCGCCACGGCGCTGGGCCCCCTCAAATTAAATTCACAAAAATTTTTAAAATGTGGATTCCTGTTCCATCTAGTGTTTCTAGAAACTATCTTCATGAATATTACTGTAGAACAAAGCAAAATTCCACTATGGCAATTCAGAAATACTTAAAACCAGAACAGGTTATTTATTTGCAATAAGGTATAATGTTCCAATTCCCACAACTGGTGAAATGTATACTGCACAGACACCTTTCCCCGAGCAGTTAAGACTCTGGCAAGTGGACCGCCGTTGGAGGGTAACATGGTAGCTTGCCACCGGCAACACTGCTTTGCCAGCTCACATCCTGGTTGTTCCACTTACAAGCTAGCTCTGTCCTAATCTGCACGGGAAACAGCAGAAGATGGTCCAATGCCGGGACCCCGCCGCCCATGGGGAAGACCCGCAGGAAGGTCCTGGTCCTACCACGTGCAGAGTGAGTGAGTGAACAGAAGGCTTCTTCTAACTCTGCCTTTCAAACAAACAAAATCCAAAGACTGAGGAAGATGTCCGTACTCCATGTCCAACCATGTGGACTGAAAACCCATCTCAGGCTTCTACTTCATAAGTCTTTCTAAGGCAGAACCCTGGCTCGGGGGTTCTGGAACACAGAGAATGGCTCTGGCCTTCCCCAGCTCCTGTAGGCATTTGTGGAATAACATCTTCCAATGTTAGTAATACTATTCAAAATTTGAGGGGGAAGAATACACACGAAATATTCCCATTAACATAAGATTCTAATGGAAATAAGTCTCATTAGTGTTCCAGGAATTAACATTATTCAACACATTCAAATTTAGTAGAAATCAGTATCTCAACTTTCTTGCGCTCCAACCCCAAATCAGAATCCAATTTAATTATTTGTAGCAGAACAGTACTGACTTCTTTTAAACCATACCTGGAAAAGAGCCATACTGCGCTCCTGACTGTCGTCTGGCGTCTTCCTCCTTTAACACAACACAAAAAAGAGAAACAAATTACACAACAGCATTCACCCTGAAGCAGCCCTGCAGTAAGACATGCTGGTAGATTTCACTCACGATACTGGGCTGTTCACAACACCTTCGATAACAAATTAACATCTGAATGCACTGTGAACATTACTAAGTAACGATTTCAAGTAGAATGCTTTACTCTGCAAAACACTTTTAATAATGAAATGCCTAGGGCCCGGCAGTGTAGCCTAGTGGCTAAAGTCCTTGCCTTGAATGTGCCAGATTCCACAGGATCCCATGTGGGCGCCAGTTCTGATCCCGGCCGCTCCACTTCCCATCCAGCTCCCTGCTTGTGGCCTAGGAAAGCAGTCGAGGACAGCCCAATGCCTTGGGACCCTGCACCCATGTGGGAGACCTGGAAGAAGCTCCTGGCTCCTGGCTCCTGGCTCCAGATTGGCATAGCACCAGCCGTCACACTCACTTGGGGAGTAAATCATTCCTGTCTGTGTCTCCTCCTCTCTGTATATCAGACTTTCCAATAAAAATAAAACAAATCTTTTTTAGAAAGTGCAGATATTATATTCACATTAAAAAAAAAATAATGAAATGCCTGCTGGGCAACGCCTGGAGTGCATCTAACATGGGCACCAGTTGAAGTCCAGTGCCTGGGAGGGCAGCTGAGGCTGGCCTCGAGTACTGCGCCACTGCCCATATGCGAAAGACCTAGAAGAAGCTCAACTCCTCAGCTTTGAAGGGCTCAGCTATGGCCACTGGGGCCATTAGCAGAATGAATATGAGTATGTTCATGTCTGTAAAACCATGAACTTACTGCTTTTAAAACTAGAAGACTTATTACCAACACTGCCATGACCTTCATATCCCTGGTCCATCTTCTCCATATTCTCCCCTTAAAAACTCAAAAGAGGGCCCAGCACAGTAGCCTAGTGGCTAAAGTTCTCGCCTTGAACACGCTGGGATCTCATATGGGCGCCGGTTCTAATCCCAGCAGCTCCACTTCCCATCCATCTCCCTGCTTGTGGCCTGGGAAAGCAGTTAAGAATGGCCCAAAGCTTCTGGGACCCTGCACCCGCGTGGGAGACCAGGAAGAAGTTCCTGGCTCCTGGCTTCAGACTGACTCAGCTCTAGCCACTGCAGCCACTTGGTGAGTGAATCAACGAATGAAAGATCTTCCTCTCTGTCGCTCCTCCTCTCTGTATATCTGTCTTTCCAATAAAAATAAGATTAAAAAAAAAAAAAGGAACCTTCAAGAGGACTGACTTGCTTTTTCAGGTTTATAAATACAAAAAAGAAATTTATCCCATAGAGGCACAGACATAATCAAGGAGATGGATAAATAGAAGAATTACTTTTAAATATTAAGCTACAACTTTATTCATATGATGCGCAATAAAGTAAAAAAAAAAAAACAAACAAAAACAAAAAAAACAAGGTATAACGTTACAAATTTCCAAATACAAAAGGACTTTATAACTGAAAATAAAAAATAGAATCAATTTTCAAGAGTTATGAGCCCATTGTTGGAACAGGAGAAATTGTAAGGCTTAACAAAAAATATTGTCAAATTTCAATTACTTTACTTACTTGAAAAAACTTCTGATTTTAAAAGAACATTAAAAGAAATTACATTAGAAATATAATCTCACTTAAAAAAAATTAAAACGACCCCCAGGTAAAGCAGAAGGGGGACTTCTTTCAAGCAGATCATCAATAGAACTGCAATGCTACCAATACAGACCCTGAAGACCCGCCCAGCCGTGCGCCCCCCGCACACGCACCCTCTGCGCTCGCTCGTGCTCCTCTCGGGCCTTCTTCACTCTTTCCATTCTTTCTTTGATCTCTCGCTCTTCACGTTTTCGCTCATACTTCCTCCGATGTTCTGCAATTTTCTGGGCCTAGACGGATAGAGCCACAAAGTGAGGCCTGCTCCAAAAGTCGCAACAATTTTTTGAGGAGACATACTTAATTCAACACACAATTCTGAAAACGAACATATTTAAACACCTTGACACACGGACCAGTGTGGCAGCGTCACAAGCAAAGCCACCACGAGCAACGCTGGCAATCTGTACGAGTCAGCCAGCTCCTGTGAATGCCTGGGAAAGCAACAGAAAAAGGCCCGCGTGCTTGGGCCTCTGCGACACGGGAGACCGGAACAGAGCTCTGTCCTCCTAGCACTGGCCACGGCAGCCGTCTGAGAGTGATGCATGGGTGCAAGTTCTGTGACTCCCTTTTGCTCCCAGTTAATTCTGCTTTTCAAATAAATAAAGCTAGTGCTTTCAAAAGGCAAAATGTTTTAATTTTTGCATTCAGTATTTTACTAAGCTGAAGCCTAACTCCCAAAGTAGCTGAATACAGCAACACATAAGGACACACCAGACTCAAACCGAGGTTACATTTTATATTTTATACACTATTCTTTCTTTCCTTCTGATAAGCCTCATACTCCTTTTTCCAGTTACAGTTTCACTGTGGTCTCGGAAACAAAGTAAGAGCAACTGCTCCAATACCATGTAAGAAAACACGCAGACCTAAACACTCCAACCTGTCTATTTCTTTACATTTTTTAAGGTAGTTTCTGGCTGCCAGGTTTAAGTGCCACACTGTGGAATACTGCAGTGGTAACTACCCCAGCTCTGCTGGCACATACCCTTGGCTGAACTTCTTTCAGCATCGCACTAGCATCTTCGTCATAATCCAGTTTACAGGCAAGCGCCAGATCATGGGCTGCTTCTTCCCAATGGCCCAGAAGTCTGGAATAAATTAAAAAATAACAATATAATAATTTTTGGAGAAAATTACAAAACATTTATTTATGTGGCTTGATGTGCTGCTTCCTTACAAAAAAGAGACTGTGACAAGTAGAAAGCATTAAGTATGAACTTCCATCAACCAACTCAATTACTATTACATCGTTAACGAACCCAATCAAAACCTGAGGGAGTTCAGACTTCCTCCAGGATACAATAAGCTTTTTCATACACACGGCTGTATTTAGAACATGGTACTTCAGAAGTCAGCATTTTGGCACATGGAGTTCAGCTACAGGTTGCAACGTGTGCGAAACCAAACCGAAGTGCTGGTTCACGTCTAAGCTGCTCTGCTTCCAACCCAGTTCATGCCAAATGTTTATGACAGTCCAAGTACTCGGGCTGTGGGGGTTCAAAGCAATTGAGCAAGATGCCAAGGAGAGTGAAATGATTTTACTTTCCAGTCCGGGAGCGACCTCTTGCCATGAACAAAGTAAATGGGAGGGTTTTATAGATATTATTTAGGAGAAAATCAATAGCTATAAGATATTGAGTAAATACATAATGAGTTATTTTGTCACATAGAGCAGAAAGCAGGTAAAAAATTTACAATGTTTAGAATTCTGATCCAATTATTTCAATAAATATTTACAATGCAAAAGTTCAGGATTCCAATCCTATCACTTCAATGGAGACAGTACACAGCATGCCTGAGAGGTAACTGTACTTTCCAGGAATTCTGAGCACTCCAAGATCACTCCTATCTCCTGTTTTTCCTCCTGGTGTTCTCATAACAGGGTGTAGGTGTTTCTCAGGAGATCCCAGACTTCAGGAGCACATTCACGTGGGCTGCCAGCCATGTGCGAGCCCCGACTGCAGTTCAAGGCTCCAGGTTTCAGACAAGAGCAGCCCCAGCAACTGTGGCCATTTCAGGAAGAACCAATAGATGCAAGTTACCTTCATCACTCTGACTCCCACATACATCAGTACTAACACAACACACCTAAGTATCAGAGTGCCCAGGTTCAACGCTCAGTTCTGCTCCACACTCTGGCTTCCTGCTAAAGAGAAACTGGGTTGTGGGTGATGGTTCAAGTAACTGGGTTCCTGTCACCCAGCTCAAACACTTGAGTTTCTCATTGCCAGCTTCAGGACTGGGCCAGAATTTTACAAAATAAAACCAGTAGATGGAGCTCTCCGTCCCTTCAAACCTCCCCAACCTAGAAAAGATGACAAAAGACACAAGGACAGGTTGGCAAGGACAATAAGAATGCGGTAAAGGACAGCAATGAAAATGAGCATGCAGCCCAGTAAGTCCACCCACTGGCTGATCCTCCTTCTGCAATCAACAGCAACCTATATGGGCGTGGGTTTGTGTCCCAAATGCTCCACTTCCCATCCAGATACATGTATGGCCTGGGAAAACAGCAGAGGATGTTCTAAAGCCTTGGAACCCTGTGCCCGCCTGGGAGACCCAGAGGAGGCTCCTGGATGCTGTGGGCAGTTAGACTAAACCAGTGGAAGGAAGATCTCTTTATCTCACTCTCTGCTTGTCAAATACATGCATACACAAACATACACATGTATTCCTAAGGAAATTATGAAAAACAAAAAAGAGGGGGGATGAGAAAAGCTTGCACTGTGGTTCAGCAAGTTAAGCCACTGCCCTGATGACTCTGAGCTGCTCTGCTTCCAGTCTAACACCCTGTTAATGAGATTTGACACAGTAACAGGCCCTTGTGCTTGGGGGAGTCCAAAGGAGCTACAGACTCCCAGTTTTGGCTTGGGGAACAAACCAGCAGGTGGTGAAGACTCATCTGTCCATTGCCTTTCAAATAAGACATACACACACAAACACTGAGGGGAAAAATTTAACGTTAAATTTTTGAAATCATTAATATAAACCCTATTATGCATTTTGCTGCATGAAAAACATTTTTAGGGCCCAGTGCTTTGGCTCAGTGGCTAAAATCCTTACCTTGCAAGCACTGAGATCCAATACAGGTGCCAGGTTGGGTCCTGGCTGCTCCACATCCTTTTATTTTTCCTAATTCTATTCATAGCTTATCCCAATAAAGCAGATGTCATTAACACACCTAATTCTTAAAAACAAAGACTTATTTATTTTTATTGCAAAGGCAGATATACAAAGAGGAGAGACAGAGAAAAGGATCTTCTGTTGACTGGGTCACTCCCGAAGTGGACACAACGACCAGAGCTGAGCCAATCTGAAGCCATGAGCCAGGAGATTCTTGGGGGTCTCCCTCGTGGGTGTAGGGTCCCAAGGCTTTAGGCCATTCTCTACTGCCTTTCCAGTAATATTTTCTCAACCCACATAAAATGAAATTCATGAATTAAAGTTGTAAGATAAAAATGTTCATTTGTATTAAGAAGTTCCTCCTCTGTCCGTGGAGCCAGCATCCCATATGGATGCATCGGATCCAATTCAACTCCTTGCTGATGTGTCTTGGCAAAGTCCTTGGGCTCCCAACCCATGTGGGAGACCAGGAAGCAGCCCTGGGTTGTTGGCTTCATACTGGCCTGGCTCCAGCTGTTGAGGTGATTTACAAACCATTTGGGAAGTAAAAGATCTATGTCTAACTTCCTCTTGGTAAAAATCTGCCTTTTAAATAAACTAAATAAACAAATCTTAGACTCATTTGTGAAACATCACATGTTGATTTCAGGAACGACTAAATGCTTAAATGCACCACTTTATTTTCCCATTGTCCCGATTTTTCATACTTGCAGGGACTAAAGCAGTTTAAAGCTGACACATGAAATATACTGGTTGTTTAAAAAGTCAGGAAATAAGAAAACACAAGGTTCTTATTTTCCGTCCAACAAAGCCCACTACGTCACGTTACCAAAACCAGGATTCACCTGTGTGCTTTCCCGCGCCACTTGTAAGGCTGGGCCGAGTCAGGGTTGATTTCAATGGCTCTGTCGCAGTCTCGGATGGCAGCATTTGGCTTCTGTAATTTGACGAAGACACTAAGAAATACATTAAAAATATTGATTTCAAACAATGTAACACTGCGATCATCACAGAATTCTAGATAAACAAATGAGGCACGTGTGTCTGCAGAGTTCTCACCTTGCTCTCTTTGCATACAAGATGGCCAAGCGAGGATTCAGCTTGATGGCATCCGTGAACAGATCGATAGCTTTCTGTAGCTCCCCTGAAGAGACACAGAGGAAAATACGAACCAGCCTTGCAGCACAGTGGCTAAAGCCACCAAGGCAGCAATACCAGCATCGCATATGGGGACCAGTTGGCCTCCTGGCTGTTCCACTTCTGGCAACTGTTTAGCCCCTGCCCCGCAGCTCTGACTTTGACCTAGTTCAGCGCTGGCTGTTTTCACCTTTAGAACGAACCAGTATATTTAATATCTCTCTATATTGCCTTCACTCTATGTAAATTTTGATTTCCTATGCAATTACGGTCTTTTAAATTCTTTCACTACAGTGAAAAAAGAAAAAAAAAGTACTAGTGTCTTAACATACACAGGAGGCTGGTACTGTGGCACCACAAATTAATCCTCCACTGCTCGTGTAGTGTACAAGGTCAGCTCTTTAACGCAGATCCTTACGAAGAACTCGTTCTGCCTCCCAGGCAAACAGGAGCACCTGGACTGGAAGCAGAGACAGGGCCCCATCCCAAGCACTCCAATTTGAAATGTGGGTGTCCCAAGGAGCAACTTAACCCAGCATTACCCAAAGCCTGCCATTCTTTTTGTCTTTATAGTTTTCATTTTATTTGAGCAAAAATGTAGTTATCTCGCCCCTCAAATTTCTCAAACAACTCACGGAGCAGTTGGGTCTGTCCCAAAGCAAGGAGTGTGGGACACAATCTAAGTCTCCCAGATGGACAGCAGGGACGCAGACACCAGAGCCAGCGCTGCTTTCTTCTCGGGGTGCTCAGTATAGAGGCTGGGGTTAATAAATCAAGCTGGGACAGATCCTCTTCTGATACAGGATGTGGGCACAACAGAGGCATCTAGTTTTTAATTTTATTTTTAATATCATTTACATAGTTGAGAAAGATGTATGCCCATGTGGGTCTTTGATCAGGGTGGAAGGGGTCAACACAAGGACTAAGATGGGTGGGATAAACGACCATGTCCCCAGAGGGGAAGGAGAGTGGGCTGCTCCTTGTTATCCAACATCAGCACCGGGGGTTGGGCAGCAGTCAGGAGGACGTCTTAGAAACATCCATGTGAGGAAGAATGTTCTAGGGGTGTTACTTGAGTGGCTTTGATGTTTTGGGGAAACTGATCAGAATTCATGAGAACAATACAGAAAAATATTAGGCCTTTCTAATTACTACCGTAGAGACCTATAATAACTAAATTTAACATCTACCAAGCAGCTCAAACCTATCATGTACAAAATCTACCCCATCACCCACTCTACCTTCACTAACTGAACGGCCTCTATTATCACGCCGTTTGCTTCTGGAAAGGGTTACATTGTAATTATCTTGGACTCTGCAGAACACTAACCAGTCACAGCCACCCATAACACTGATGGTGCAAATGAAGCCCTAGTTCAGTACCAGCCTGGGGATTCAAACCAAGGCACTGCCAGCATAGTTTTAATGTGTTCCTGACAGATGTGCCTTTGTCATCCTTGGGTGGGACACGCTCATAATTCCTCATTTAAAATATTAATATTCCCTCCCTTACAAAGGACACAAAATTGTACAAATCCCAAGATTAGAACTAGGTCAGAGCCAAGAATGGTAGCCTAGTAGTTAAATCCTTGCTTTACATCTGCTGGGATCCCATATGGGTACTGGCTTTTGTCCCAGCCGCTCCACTTCCCATCCAGCTCCCCACTTATGGCCTGGTGCTGGGGTTCGTGCAGTGGATGTGGGGGACACGCAGGTGTGAAGAGGACTGTTCCATTGCAGGAAGGCCTGGTGGATGTCTCTACAGCCACCTTCCCTTGCAAGGACACAGGACCACCCTAATCCTTTCAGGGATTGCTTGCTGCTTTTTACTTTCAATGTGAGCTTGGAGGTTAATGTCAATAGTAGTAATGTCTTGCAAAAGGGCCTTTTATTATTCCTACTGTCTTGGCTGTCCCCATTGACCTCATGCTAATCAAACGACCTGTATTTAGGGTTTCACTCTTTCCTCATTCTTTAGTTTCTCCTTTTCTTTGTGATACATTTCATGCCTTAACTAATTCAAGATTGAGATGTAGAATAAGAATAGTAGGAACTTGTATTGAGTTTTTAGGTGAAATAGAAGTCTGTGCTAGAGCTTGTGACTGCTTCTGTGTAAGTAAGGGGACAGGTTTCTTGCATTTGTACATTATGATCATGAAATCATAGTGGTCCATTTCTTCTCTACGCCTACTCCACACACCCTTCTTGAGTTCCAAACTGCTGGAGCTGGACTCCGGCAGCCTGGGAAAGCAGCAGGACAGCCCAGAGCCTTGGGCTCCTGCCTCTGTGTGGGAGACCTATGCAGACTGTCCAGGGAAGGACTCTGGGGATGTGCTGGGTTGAGCAGCACCTACCAAGCGATGTGTGAAAGGTGAGTCATAACTTGTGGGGACTTCCTCAGATCAGCTCAGTGTACTGGCAAGTCCACAAGAGAGCTGAGGTGGAGTGGTTTAGAGGAGGGAAACTGAAGGGCCTGTCTGGACCAGGCCAATGTGGGAGACCTGGGCTGGGCTGGGCAGCATCACGCAAAAGCTGTGGCTGAGGAATATGCCTGGCTTTGCTAGGCCTCAGTACCCACCCAGTGTCAGGGCAAGGGTTTGGAACATGAGAGAACTGATCTAAGGGCAGATTCTGTTGAGGACTACAGCACACATTGGTTTGTGCAAAAGCTGGGAGTGGTAACGAGCTGAGCCTGACTCGACCCCAAATCACACCGACACTCATGGGAACCGGGGCTGGGGCGCACTATGCCAAGCAGGGCCACAGCACCCACTGGGGGCGGAAGATGCAGGCCTGGGAGGACAACTGGAGTAACTCCCCTGCTAGGCCCCGGCATCCACTGACAAACACAGAGCCAGGACGGGATCAGGTTCAAGGTCACCCAGGCAAGGCTTCTGGGGGACTACACAACTAGACTACTGAACTCAAACCCCCAAACCAAGGAGGGTCCCCTCATCCTTCCCTTCCTGAGGACACAGAAGAAAAAAACAAGACCTGAAACATTTGTCCCTCAACTCTCCTTCCTCCCTCGACACTCCCCATTCTAACCAGAGGCACACATGGGTGTGCATCCCTCAACTATGCAAACAATGTTAGAAATACATTTAACATTAGGATCTAACATGCAGGAACTAGAAGAGGGCCGTGCCTGCGGTCACTGCCTGTCAAGGGTGTTGTTGCTTCTATTCTGGAGTTCCTTCCACACTCAGGGGACTTGTATTCTGGCATGGTAACTGTCCTGCTGCCAGCAGCACTGGCATCTGAGAGCCCAGTTTGAAGTCCCAGCTGCTCTGCTTCCAATCAAGTGCCCTGCTAATAGCCTAGGTGTTTGAGAAGACAGTGGGAGACAGAGCTGGAGACCGTGGGGCCCAGCTACCCACATGGGAGACACTAAACTCTGGGCTCCGACTTTGGCCCGGGATAGCTCCAGCCATTGTGGCCAAGTAGGAAGTGAACCAGTAGATGTAAGTTCCCCCTCCCTACCACTTCCCTCCATCACTTCGCCTTCACATGAGTAAAAACAACTTTACACACTTTGACAGTTAAGGAAGTAGACTTTGAGTCAGATCAGGACGTGTACCTGCCTGGAGGCAGCGTGACTGACACATACTCTCAGCCTCTAAAAGATGGCTGAATACTCCATGAATGCAAATTCTCCTACCATTTTCCACTATGTCATGGTTTCTACGGTAGAGAGAATTCAAACTGCTACAAGAATGTAACAAAAGGAAAATAAACAGGGTCTCACCGTCATTCAGGGCTTCGATGGCAGCCCCCTTCTTCTCATTCGCCTGATCCATCATGTCCTCGGTTATCTAACACAGAGAAATTGAGCGCTAAATTAGAGGTGGCAGAGGAAACCACCAGGGCTTTTGCAGGGGTCAGGCAGTCACAACCCGTATTCATTCATTTCTAATCTCCAGAAACCAGGAAGAACACTCATTATAACCAATTAGTGAGAAGCTATAAACAATGAACTTACAAACCTTTCATACAAATTTCCCTCCCTAATACTACCACATCCTGGACAACACCTTTGCTCCTCTCTATCCCAATGTGTTCTGCTTTGCCTAGGTTATCCAACTCATTTATAACTATACACGAACATTAACCCAACAGACTCACAAAGAGGTATTCTTCTCATTCTGAATTCTGATAGAGGGATTTCCTTCTTCTGCCAGTGGCCATTGTAATATTTCCATCATTCCCAAGCTATGTAAAATTACCAAGTTAAAAATTGCATAACATTGTGGTGTAACATGTAAAACTGCCACCTGCAGCGAGCATGCCATGTGGGCACTGGGTCAGTCCCGCCTGTTCCACTTCTACTACAACTCCATGCAAATGCACTTTAGAAGGAAGTGGACGATGGCTCATGGCACTGCACCCACACGGGACACACAGAACAAACCCATGACTCTGCTTTGCATTAGCCCAACTCTTGGCGCTGCTTGGTCACAGTCTAACTGCCACCCGGAGAGGCAGCAGACAACAATTCAAGTACTTGGAAACTTGGGAAACCTAGACTGACCAGGGGACTTCTGGCCTTGAGTGGCCTGGCCAACAGTGGCAGGTACATGGGGACTGAACCAAAGAATGTAAGATGCATCTCTGCCTTTCAAATAAAAATGAATTAATTTTCTTAATGAAAATATTGAAGCAGGATGTTTGGTTTCAGGCTGTCAACTGGACACGATATTCCAGAAGAGAGTGCCTGGGGTTAGTCCCAGTTCCACTGCATCCAGGTTCCTGCTCATGTGTATCCTGGGAGGCCAGCTAGTGACTGGTCAGGGACTTGGTTCCCAGCCGCCAAGAGCTCATATGTCTGTCTGCCTCTCCAATCAATCAATCAATCAATTCCTTAAATTAAATCCAAAATGTTTTAAATGGCTTCTATTTACAGCAAGAGTATACATGATATCCCTAAACAAGTCTAAAATTCCATAAAATGCAGAAATCCACAAAGAACAAGAGTAAACCAAGATTAGAATTCAGCGCACAGGATGCGTTCCCCCTGTAGCAGGTGTCAAACCTAGCATTGGTTTTGAAGGAAATGCAACACAAGAGACACACAGGCTCAGAAGGGGAGAAAATATGAGCTCTAACCAGATGCTCTCCAAGCATGGAGCTCCAATCTCCACTACAGGCAAGCAAAGTGGTGACCCCAAAACAAGTCTGTACCAGAGAAGGGACAGTGAAGGACAGAGGTGGAAAATCTTCTGGTAATTTAACCACAAGTCAGCCCTTCATCTATAATTGCACATTATCAAGTTAAAATAAAACAAAGGCCAGGCCCGGTAGCTTAGTGGTTATAATCCTTGCCTTGCACGCGCCGGGATCCCATATGGATGGCAGTTCATGTCTCGTCTGCTCCACTTCCCAACCAGCTTCCTGCTTATGGCATGAGACAGCAGTGGTGGATGGTCCAAAGCCTTGGGACCCTGTACGCATGTGGGAGACCCAGAAGAAGCTCCCGGCTCCTGGACACAAACCAGTGCCCACATGGGACTTTAGCACTTGCATCTCATACCAGGACTTTCAAATAAATAGCTTTTTAAAAAAATTAAACTGGGCCCGGCGCGGTGGCGCAAGTGGTTAAGTCCTCGCCTTGCACGCCCGGGATCCCATATGGGTGCCGGTTCTAATCCCGGCAGCCCCGCTTCCCTTCCAGCTCCCTGCCTGTGGCCCGGGAAAGCAGTCGAGGACGGCCCAAGGCTTTGGGACCCTGCACCCGTGTGGGAGACCCGGAAGAGGCTCCTGGCTTCGGATCGGCATAGTATCGGCCCGTTGCGCTCACTTGGGGAGTGAATCATCGGACGGAAGATCTTCCTCTCTGTCTCTCCTCTCTGTATATCCGCCTTTCCAATAAAAAATAATAAAAATAAATCTTAAAAAAAAAAAAAAAAAAAAAAAAATTAAACTGGGCCCGGCGCGGTGGCACAAGTGGTTAAAGGTCCTCACCTTGCATGCCCGGGATCCCATATGGGCGCCGGTTCTAATCCCGGCAGCCCCGCTTCCCTTCCAGCTCCCTGCCTGTGGCCTGGGAAAGCAGTCGAGGACGGCCCAAAGCTTTGGGAACCTGCACCCACGTGGGAGACCCGGAAGAGGCTCCTGGCTTCGGATCGGCATAGTATCGACCCATTGCGCTCACTTGGGGAGTGAATCATCGGACGGAAGATCTTCCTCTCTGTCTCTCCTCTCTGTACATCCGCCTTTCCAATAAAAAAAATAATAATAATAATAAAAAAAATTAAACTGAGGGCCTGGCACAATAGCCTAGTGATTAAAGTCCTCGCCTTGAATGCACCGGGATCCCAGACGGGCATCATTCTAATTCTGGCAGCCCCTCTTCTCATCCAGCTCCCTGCTTGTGGCCTGGGAGAGCAGTTGAGGACAGCCTTGGGGTCCTGTGCCTGCATGGGAGACCTGGAAGAGGTTCCTGGCTTTGGATTGGCTCAGCATCAGCCGTTGCAGCCACTTGGGGAGTGAACCATCAGATGGAAGATCTTCCTCTCGGTCTCTCCTTCTCCCTACAAATCTTTCTTCCCCAAAAAATAAATAAATCTCTAAAAAAAATTAAACTGAAAGTGTTGAAATGAAAACTTAACCCTTTGCAATTAAAGCATCAGCAGGACACATCAGACACAACTGGGCATAAAGTAATAGAAATAAAACTCAACAGTGAAAATGGTCCAACATAAAGGGCTCAGACGACACAGAAGATAGGAGAGTCAAACACAATATTAAAAAGCATGAACAAGTTCTCCACCGGGTAAACACGAAAGCTTTAGAGGCAATTCCACTTTAGGGGACACTGAATAGCAGTCACACGAGATGCAAATTTACAGAATAACAAAACATCCCGGAAGAGGGATCTCAGAGATCAATGCTGGAGCACAGTTAATCACACGGATATTCTCCCAAGTATTCTAGGAAGGTCAATAAAATAACAACACAAAAGCTTTGTAATCAATCAGTAAAAATGCAATTACCTCCGCATTTTCATCTCCCATTTCCTGAGGGGCGTCAGTGTCTGGCTCAATCACACCTTCGTTGTCGATTTCTGTCCAAGAGGAGAAAACAGAGAAAATTCTGGGCTGGGCAAGACAGCAGCCACCTGAAGCGCTAGAGCCAGCGTAACTAACAATCTTCATACTTCCTAAAACTTTAAATACTGATTCATTAGAAAATAGTTCCCCAATAAAGACAATTCTGTTTTAGCAAGGACATTCCCTTTTAATTGGAGAAACACCAGACTGTCCCGGGCTGCTGGAGAGTGGTTGCTAGAGCACAAGTTTGTCATTCAGTGTAAAAACCACCATTTGACTTAAGTAACTTTCTACACACTAATATACTATAATGTGTTTTCTAACGTATTTTATCTACGGCTGGTATTGCCTCACAAAGCAGTCAAGGACGGCCCAAAGCCTTGGGACCCTGCACCCGTGTGGGAGACCTAAAGGAGGCTCCTGGCTCCTTGCTTCACATTGGCTCAAGTCTGGCTATTGCAGCCACTTGAGGATTGAACCAGCAGACGGAAGATCTTCGTCTCTGACTCTCCTTTCTGTATATCTGACTTTCCAATTTAAAAACAAACAAATCTTTAAAAAGAAAGAAAACAAAGTTTCATTTGTCGCTCACATCAGACAGTGATCTAGTCACTTCATAAAGATCCGCCCAGGATCACCCAGCACCCAGCACTGAGCACCGGCTCCTGGATCACCCAGCACCCAGCACCGAGCACCGGCTCCTGGATCACCCAGCACCCAGCACCAAGCACCGGCTCCTGGATCACCCAGCACCCAGCACCGGCTCCTCACCTAGGTCACTCTCCTCACTGGACGGCTCGTCCGCCTCGATGTTTTCCTCTGCCTTCTTACCATCTGCTTTTTCTTCCTAGCAAGGGAAACAGTGTTTTCAGTAGTCAATAATACCCAGAATATGTCACATTTCAGACAAATTTATGCAAAAGCAGTCAATACATTACACTCCCATTGCTAATTTTCCCTTCCTCACCACTCTGCAGAACAATGTTTTAGAACCTACCGTCATCCACACAGCATGTTTTGGAGTACCTTCAGTAGGCATCATGGCCCAACTCCATCATCAAACAAATCCCCATTTCTGAATCTGCACCTTCATAATTAGTGGTATAAAAACTAAAAGCCTTACATCCATTCAGATCATGTTCAATCACTAATTAAAAACATTTGCTTTTTAAGGGTACTTGAGTTATAGAACTATAGGTAACAACTTAGGAAATTATACTATACTAACAAAAAAGAATTCAAAAGTGTAAAACGGGTCTGGTGCTGTCACACAGCAAGTTAATCTGCTGCCTAACAGTACTGGTGTCCCATTAGAGTGTCAGTTTCAATCCCAACTGCTCTATTTCCAATCCAGCTTCCTCTTAACGCACTGGGAAAGCAGCCGATGGTTTAAGAGCCTGCGTCCTGCACCCACGTGTGACAAGAGGAAGAAGCTCTGAACTGGCTTTAACCTGGCCCAGCCTTGGGTACTGTAACCATTTGGGAAGCGATCTCTCTGTGGTAACTCTACCCTCCACATAAATAAAACGAAGAGTACACTTGGATTCTTCAGCGATCTCATCATGCTTGGAACGGCAAGACTGGCAGCAATTCAGAACTGCTGAATTATCAAAACCACTTGAGCAGGACCCTCTGAGCATGCCTGGGACCTCTCTCTCAGGGACCTGGGATGGGTGGGAGGCTGGGTGGGGCTTCTCCCTTTAACCCAGATACAGGAAAAAAAAGCAATAATGTGGAAACAATGGTCTGCCCCACTTTCCTGTAACCCTTGACCTTTGTGCCCTAATCAACTATGTAAAGAATGTCAAAATAAAATAATTTTTAAAAAAATATATATATATATATGCTTTCCCCATTCTCTAAATTTCATCTACTAGCAATTCGCTCCCGATCTTTTCCATCTTTTCTCCAAAATGCTAAAACACATGAGTCACAGCTTAAAGCAACCCTGGGAGAGGGGCAGGGCAATCTGAAAATATTAACAAAGTATCCATAGAGGATAAGGCACAGAGCCATCTACTACAATTTTAAAACATCTTATTTCCCAGTAATCTTGAAGAAATCTGGAGTGTAACTTGAGAATAGTAATTAAAATGCTATTTTATCATTAAACATACAAATGAAATTAAAACTTACCTTGATATTTTCCTCTGATTTAGCTTTATGAGTTGCAGGTGGCACTTTACCGCCCATGCTTAAAGAAATAAAAAAAACAATTCTTTAGAAATTTAAAATCCATTAAATCAAGCACCAATATTCATGCCTTTTAAAAAATAGTGACACCGAGACACTTACCTTTAAAAAACTTAAGAAACCTTTGCCCTAGCTCAATAATTCTAATGACCTTAATTATATATATGTTCCTATCCATCCAGAGAAATGAGCACAGGCCAAACACAAATAACAGAACCACTCATAAAAGTCATTAGCTCTCAGGGCCAGCACATGGCGAAGCAGGGGTCTCCACCTGGTACACCGGCATCCCACGCGGACACCGGTTCAAGCACCAGCTGCTCCCCTTCAGTCCAGCTCCTCAAGGGCAGCAGAGGATGTGGCGAGGGCTTGGGTCCCAAGGCCCAAATGGGAGATGCAGAAGCTCCTGGCTCAGGATCAGCCAGCTCTAGATATTATGGGCATTTGGGAAGTGAGCCAGTAGAAGGAAAACCTTTTTGCTAACTCTTTCAAATAAAATAAGTTTTTAGAAAATCATTAGATTTTAGTATATTCAAATCCAAATTTGAAACAGAATGATTAGCAAGAGTAGCCCATTGAATTCAAACAAGCAGTTTTATGAAATAATTTTCATCGTAAGTCAAAATGTTTCATCTGGCAGTGCCTAATGGATTCTTTCTTATATTCATACTGTTCTCATCCGTCCTGAAGTGTACCCACTTTCTATACAATCCAGGGGTATGGTATAAATTATATGCAATTAACTAAAAAGTAAAGAAAAACACAAAATTAGCATGACATGCTCTAGCTGGTGTAGTTTGCAGCATACAGGCTGTGTAAAATCTAACCTAGCAACCGAACCACGAATGTACAGACACTGCAAAATGGCGGAAGTTGCAAGTCCCAGACAGCGACCCTTGTGTGAAGCAAGAAAAAAGAGACCTCTTCCAAATGCCCTGAAAATGTTGACTTTGAAAATTCAGAATTACAAAAAGAGAGGGACGAGACAGACTGAGATTTTTTCATCCAAAGGTTCACTGCCCAAATGGCCACCATGGCCAGACCCAGCCGGATTCCGGATTCCAAGCTGGGAACCAGGAGCTTCTTTCAGGTCAAAGACACGGGAACAGGGGCTCCAGGACTTGGGCCATCCTTTGCTCCTTCCCGGACACATGAGCAGGAAGCTGGATCAGAACCGGAGCAGCTGGGACTCAAACTGGCACCCATGACATGCCTGCACCACAGCACAGGAAGATTAGCTTGCAGTGTCACTCTAATAGCTTCGATTTTTTTTTTCAGCATAAGCTGCCACAACATTTACCTTCATCAAAACTGTTCAATTTACACAGTATGGTTATGCTGAACTGAAATGGCTTCCCATTTTGTGAAGTGGTTCTTCCCCAGCTCCACTTCTCAGCAGTGGGTGAGAACTCGGTGTCAGTGCTTAGTTCTTGTTGGGTGACAGGTGCGTGTTGACGGCTTTATGGCATCTCACTTGAGCTGAAGCACTTTTCAAATGTTCACTGTCCAACTTTTAGTAAAGTTCTAACTTTTATGCAGCTTTCTATCAGGCACTGCATGTGGGTGTGTCAGTTTTATGTGATGCAATATACCTTGTCAACTCCTGCGGTTTACACTGTGCATAAATACAAAACAGCAAATGGAATAAAAATAAGTAAAAGAAATAGGGGGGAAGATACTAAATCTGCAATTTCTTACAGAAGCCATTTGCTGAGGAAAGCCACACCCCCCAGTCACCACGCCGTCTTCACTGACTCAGTACCCTCATGTGGATGGCTCCTCTGGGGCAGAAGCACAACCATAACATGGCCGCAACACACCTCAACATGCCGTTCCAAAGTCACATGTCTTCTAAACACCACAAAATCCTTCTCTGTGGGAAAAACCATTTTCAAAAAGTACAGAAGCACTAGCTCTCTGCAGTTAAGAATCAATGTAGACAACAAGGCCTCTTAAACTGTTCTGCTTCAAAATGTATCGTCAGGAATGTACTCAGGATAACATTCAAACACAACCGCCGCATTCTGACTTTGGGAAGTGACATTCCGGCCAAAAAATATATCAACACTAAACCTAATTGTAAAAAATCAGATTATCTTAAATCTAAGTTGAAGAAAAAGTACAAAATATGTACCTAGCCTGTAACAGTCAACTGTTTCAGTAAAGGAAGCTGACGGGGAAGGGGCGCAGTGTGCAGCTCAGGAAGGCGCGGCCTGCTGTCACCTGCCCGAGCTGCCCAGGTCTGCCGGCCACAGCAGGCTCCAGGAAAAACAGCGCGGTGCGCGGCCTCCTGTGGGCAGCCAAGGAAGAAGAGCTCCTCTGTTCGGCACTTCAAAATTTTCTTTCAGTTACAAATGGCTCCAAAATTGTCAATACAAGAGAGCTTATTCATAACTTATGATTTTCTCAACATTCCAAATTCAGTTAACTACTGCAAGGTAACATCAATGTAGATTTAGAAATAAGATTCTGAGCAAGCCAGCTTCCACCCAAAAACTGTCACTTTGACTGGTCAGTGTAGGCTCTTCTCACACGATCACATGAGCTGTGACAGATTTAACCCACATTCAAGACATCATTACTAATTTTCTTAGAAAATTAAACCCCTCAGCTTCCTGTTGCATTTCTGCTGAGGCGCACCCTGGGAGCCCCAGGCGAGGGCCCAAGCAGCCAGGCACCTGCCCGCCAAGTGACCCACCCTGAAGGAGTCAGGGGTCCACGGGCTGTTGCTGGCATCTGGGGAGTCAATCAGGGAATGTGTCTCCCTTCCCAAGACTCTTTGTTCCATTAGCAAACAATTCAAAAGGATACAAGAAAAACATATACGGAATCAGAAAAAAAAAAAGGCAACAGCACTAGAATCATCTAAGAGAACAGAACCGGCTGCATGTTTATCTGCGGGGCCAGCACAATTTCAAGCACTGCTCGCACTGTATGCAGCCACTGTTCCCTTCAGCGGCCCCAGTCCTCTCCGGCAGGGAGGGGAGCACCCCAGTCCTCTCCGGCAGGGAGGGGAGCATCACGGAACCCACGGAGCGGAACGCTCCCCCGCTGCCAGCTACTTCTTCATGTAGTTTACCTGGAATTTGAGGAACTATTTATCATAGGTGCTTTCTTAAAATGAGTAGATGTAAAAGAACAGAAGCACTCAGTAAGAAGACTATGGGATCAACTCATGAAAGAGAGAAAAAACAAAGCCCGCCCCTGAATTCCTGGTGCTATTACATCAACTGGCAGAGATCTGGGTTCAGGATTCTGATTCAAGGCTGTTTAGTATCAGGTAAGTTTCAAACGGTGTTAGCACTTGCCACACACGTGTGAGGAAGGGGCTTCAGGCCCCAGGGGAAGCTCCCTTTTCAAACAGCGTGAGGACGACCAACACATCAAGCCCCCTCTCTTGAGCTGCCCGCACACACTGATCTCATCTCGGTCACTGTCCCCAGCCATGCCCAGGAGGGCAGGAAGTCACGGGCCCACCCTCCTGATGTTCCCTGGCCGCTCACTGTGGACAAGGCTTCCTCCTGTCCTCACCTCAGGACTTTTCCTTCCCCAGAAGCCCCTCCTCCTTCCCTCAATACATCTAGAGTCATCCACGTGAATATTTTCTTTCATGTGAGACAAAAAATGAGGTCGCGGCTTTGTTTCGGGTCGAACTCCCAGCCACAATAGTACACAGAAAGCTGATGGGGAGAAAAGCCAAAAAAAAAACAAAAAACAAACAAAAAAAAAAAACCAACTCTAAGAGGTTTTCAGCAAATACTGCTGAAAGTTGTTAACTTTCTCCGTTAGAAAACAAAGGTGCTGAAAATACTCTTTCGGGGGCTGGTGCCACGGCAGAGCAGTTAGTTAAGCCTTGCCCAATGCCTGTGGGCTCCGCATGGCTGAGTCCAGGCTGCTCCACTTCCCATCCGCTCGGGCCCGAAGCCTCGGGGCCCTGCACCCACGTGGGGGACCCTGCACCCACGTGGGGACCGCCAGAAGCGCCCGGCTTGGGGTCGGCTCAGCCGCTGCTCCTGGGGCCAGTTCGGCAGTAAGGCAATGGATGGAAGATCTCGCTGTCCGTAACGCTTTCAAATTAAAAATTCAATTTCTCCCAATTATCTGGGTAACTGCCAGTTCATCTTCCCGAGGAGCCGAGGGGCTTGTTTCAGCTTCTTCTGACCCGCGGGAAGGCGCTGCCCTCCGACTCCCCGTGCACCGGTGCATGAATCCCCGCCCCGCATGGCCGCTGGTCCGGGGAGAAGTCGCCCCAGACGCGCGGCGCGGGGAGTGGGGGCGGTCTCGGGAAGCAGTCCCGCAGCTCACCACCGCGCCGAGGCCGGGCGACGGCGAGCACTCGGCTCCCGAGCTGGAGACTCGGGGGAACCATGTTTTCCGCAGAGCGCGCCGAGCCAGCCGCCGCGGGCCCCCCGCTCCCGGCCCCCCGCGTCCACGGGCGGCCAGCGCCTGCACGCGTCGCTCGCCCCAACACACGCCCCTGGCGACTCCCCGAGGCCTCGGGCGGCTCCACGCTGAGAGGGAACCCCTCCTCGGCCCCCGTTCCCCCCTTCTTCCCGCCGCCAACGGCTCCCTCCCGGCCAGGCCCCGGCCGGCCCTCACCTCTCCACCCACTCCCTGAGGAAGCGCATTTCCTCCATGTGCAGCACGTTCGGATCCTGCTTGCACAAGTTCACGAAGGCCCGCAGCTCGTTCACTTTGCGGGGATCCATGGTGGGCGGGCGGCGGGCGGAGGGCGGAGGGCAGCAGGCGGCGGCTAGAGGACCGACTCCAGGCCCGGGCGCTGGCTCAACGTGACCGCGGACAAGGGGGCGGCTGCCGCGACGCCGAACAGCCTAGAACCTCCCCGGCCGCTGGCTCCGCCCACCCGACGGTCGCGTGACCCCGGGTCCTCGGCTCCGCTCCCGGCGACTCCCTCCGCCGCTGCTCCTGCGCACTGCGCCGAACTTTCTAGAAGGGTGGCTGTTCGTGCCGCTGCCTGCCTCTACTCCTCACACACTTCCGAACCAGTATTCCCACGACCAGCCAGCTTCCTACGGGTTGGGAGATGGCCTTCAAGGAGGACGGAGGGAGGGAGCCATTCAGAATGTGGGCTTTTGGCAACGGAGGGATTAACTCCCCCGGGATAAGACATAGCCTGTGCCAAGGACCCGGCGGGCCTCGTGACGCCATCAGCCCGCGCCGCCGGAAGGGGACGGTCCGGTGCGTGTGGAATCCTGGCGACGCGGCCCCGCTGGAAGCTGTGCGATCTCTCCTTTTTTTCAATTCCTGACGCGTGAGCTAGGCCGTCATGCCTTGGCTGCTCGTAGCTCCCAGGCTGGTTCCCGCCATGGCGGGCCCTCGCGGCCTCTCAGGTCAGACTTGTCCTCCCTCGCTGTCGCCTGCGCCCGAGATGCCTTAGATGGGGATTCAGGTTGATGTTGGGGGCCATCCCCCGGTTCTGCGGACCCTGGATCGAGGAGCCTTACCGCTCCTAAACCCTAAACTCTGGGTACCGGCTGCGCCCGGGCGAGGGTGGGCTGTGGGTTTCCTCTCCCGGTTAAAATGTGCGGGGTAGAAAAGGTGGCTTTCCTTGTCCTCACAGTGATATCCCGACCCACGCACCGCAAGCTCTAACCCCTATAAAAGCCAGTGTCTCAACAACCGTCCCTCCCACGGCTGCCTGGCATGCGTATGTGTCTGGAAGATCCTAAATGTGTAGAGACGGAGGAGCCCGGGAAGAAGGGGCAGTCTGCTTGGTGAGGTGTATTCTAACGTGAAAACTGCCATCATCCACCTTACAGGCGGATATGCCTGCGGGAAGGCAGGTGCTCCGTCCCGCGCACTGCGGCCACTGCTGGCCACAGCTGTCTGCTGCTTCTCCCCGTGGGGTTCCAGGAGGCGTGGTGTACCACTTGATTCGTTGGAGACTTAGGACTGGATACTGGTTCCAGACAACGATGTGTTTGAAATGCATATATTCCGTTGGCGGCCGTGGGATTGACGAGTTTGATAACCTCTTAGGTCATCAGATATATATCAATTTTTTGGGCTCCGTGGATGAATGATGTTGAGTCTTAGCAAGTCCAGTCGGTGAGGGCACAGACTCTTGTTTTACTACAAGGAGTTGACCCCAGGGGTTGCCAGCGCTGCAGGCAGCCTTGAATGCCTGTGGTGGCTTTGTGGGACTGCACTGTCCCTTCACAAGAGTTGTTCACACTCCAGTCCAGGGAGTTGAACAAGCAACGGATGACCTTGGAGCCGGTCACAATAGAAACCTGGACCTGTGACACCAGTGCACGGCTAGGCATCGTGTAATGATTATGTTGTGGGAGCTTGGGTTAGAGGTGTTCATAAACAGGGACTTGAGTACCTGTGATGTTCTCGGTGGCCCTTGTTTTTAAGAATTTCATCAAGTGATAGTAAGAGCTCCCACAGGCACAAGCCCCATCCTCTAGTTAATTCCCCGAATGCCTGCAGTGGTTCGACCCTGCCAGGCAGAAACAGTCACTAGGGAACACAGCCCAGGTCTCCTGCATGGGTGCAGGGTCCCAAGGCTTTGGGCTGTCCTCCACTGCTTTCCCAGGCCACAAGCAGGGAGCTGGATGCGAAGTGGAGGTGCCGGAATTAGAACCAGCACCCATATGGGATCCTGATGTGTGGGAGACATTGCAGTACCCGTGACTCCTCCATCATACCGGACAGCCAGTCTGTCAGCAACTCATGCCTGGATGCGCTTCCTTATTGCAATCCACTGCTCATGCCTACCCCGGGAGGTGTGTGCCCTGATGCCCTAAAAGACCTGGGCATTTGAGGAGTGAACTGGCTGGTATCAGGAGCTGGGAAACTGCCCAGCTGTGCAGCTGAGTACAGTGTGGGCTCAGATGTCTCGCAGCCTTATGCAACCCACCATTCCCTCAGTGTCTTCCTGTGATGGGCTCTCCTCTCCCTGCAGTTTGCGCCCCACAGCTTCTAGTCCCTTCTTTTTTCTTAGTTTCTATGACTAACAGATTGCATGTTGCTTGTTACTTGACATCTGTTTATGTATATTTCAAGTTTGTAAACAGTGACATCTGGTATTTTTGTTGGTTCACTGCTGTACCTCAGGTTCCTAGAACATTGCCTGACAAAGTGCTGAAAGAACACTGTTGAACGAGAGATAGAATGAATAAAAGCAAGAGATTGCATTTACACAGAAACTTAAATCATTGCAGCAAACTGAGAAGTAATTGTGTCACAAGCATGGCACATTTGTGTTAAAGGAACAAGTAATACAGACATTTAGCCGAAAAGTACTGTGTGTGTAGATCTTGTACAGTTGACAAAAACAGAAGCTTCCCATCTGAAAAGATTCAGTGAGGGTGGACCACACCTGATGCAGCCAGCAAGCCCTGAGGAACCCTGGCTAAAGCTTCCTCTTTGTAAGATGGTGGGGAAGTTTGCCTTTTGTAAAGTGTGCCATCCTGACCATTTTCAGAGGCCCACGAGTGTTGATAGACACACATTGAAACAATCCTCAGAATTTCATCTTTGAAATCTGAAACTCTGTTTCCACTAAACTTTTCCTCTTTCCCTCCATTCCCAGGCCCCCAGAAACCAGCATTCTATTTTTGTTTCTGTGAATTTGAATGCTTTAGATATTTACATCATAACTGCTTTCCCTGGCGTAGTGTCCTCAAGGCCCATGCGTGCTGTAGCGTGGGAGAGAATTTTCTTTTGAACGCTGAACATGTTGCATTGTATGGATGAGTAATCTTACTGCATTTCTATTTTCTAGTGCCATACATATTTAAGAAACTTACATAGTTGCTTTAATTAGATAAAAAAGACTGCAGTAGGTCATATAAATTCTACTAAGGAAAAGTTCTATAGGCAGACAACTCAAAACTAAAATGGCAGTTTTAAAATTCTTGACACCAGCTGTCCCTACAAACTCCTCTTTCTCTGACTTATCCCATCCAAGCAACTGCTGACCACAGAATCAAAATCCTGCTAGAACTGTTCAAGCCACACTCTTAGTGTAGTACTGAATGTTAGCCACAGACCCCTGTGATGGACCAAAGCACACAAAGTCACATTTAAGTGTTACATGAACATAATGTGTCTAAAGAGTCAATTTAATGATTCCTTTTGGTGGACTTCTTCTTCTGCACCTCTTTGTACTTCTTCTTTTTCCTCTTACCCCCTTCTTTGAACCCCGTGGAGAAAATAGAGGGCTCCCAGGAGTTGCTGACCCAAGGTATGCCTTGCACGTCATTGTCCACGAAAGCATATTGACACACATGGGCGGGGCTGTAGGAGTTGGGTGAACAATGGTGGAAAGGTGGTCTTCTCCAGCTGGTTTCTTCTTGAAAGCCTTCCATATCCACCACACCATCCGCAAGGAAGAATTTCAACTGCCCTTCATCTTCAGCTTCTCCCTCTAGATCATTCTCAACAATTTTTGCATAGATACCCGTGTTTCTGTCGTTGGCAAATTTGCCTGAAAGGAATATGTGATTGCCCATCCCATCATGCTCGAAGGCCAGCGAGGAGAAAGAAGAAAGGCCCTCCTGCCCCAGGGACCCGAGTGATGTGTATCCTGGCTCATAGGGAGGAAACGTCTCCCAGGCTGGGTATTCACTGCAGGCAGGGACAAAGCACCCGGCCCCCGGGCACCTGCTCCCACAGCAGCCTCTGGGGTTCTGCAGGAGTTCCTCGAGTGAGTCTTCAAAGAAATGAAATGAAAACGGGTCCCTTTGCCCAAATATTTCATTGAAGACATCGTCTGGTCTACGAAATACAAAACTGTGCTCACATTCACCGTCAAACTGCCATCTGCCTTCATCTTTTAATCCTTCTTTGCCGAATTTATCATAAATGTCCCGCTTTTCATCATCCGATAATACCTCGTAGGCCTCCGCCACTTCTTTGAATTTTTTCTCTGCTTCTTCTTTATTTTCCGGGTTTTTATCAGGATGCCATTTGAGGGCTTCTTTGTGGTAAGCCTTCTTAATGTCCTCAGGTGAAGCGTCTCTGTGCACTCCTAGAACTTCATAGTAATCCACCATGTTTGAACAGGTTATGGGAAATATGGGTGCCGGTGTCGATGGTAGACGCAGTGGCTGCCAATAGGCGCATCTTAAACTGAGGGCAATATTCGTACCATGAGCCCCTGCGAGGAGGTGTTTGGATACTGATTATGTGGCAAACAGCTACAAGCCTGTGTCAGAAGTGGCTGCATTGTTATGTCATCGCAGGGTGGGGTGGCAACTGGACCTTCCAAATGGAGCCAGTCCAGAGTCACACTAGCCCCTCATGAGCCCCCTGCACTGTTCCCCTGTGTGTCCTTGGGAACCTCAGACCGTGCCTCAAACCGATGACATGTATTTCTAAAGGCCACCTCATTCCTTTGAAACGATATGGCCTTGAGCCTTAATTACTTCTTGGCTGTTTGATGTGTTGATTTAGAAAAGTGGAGAATTGGGGTAGGTATTGTGGTCGCCTATGGCATCAACATCCCCTGTAGACACCAGTTTCTGTTCTGAGCTTCTCCACTTTTTAGTCCGTTTCCTACTAATGCACTTGGGAAAGCAGTAGAAGGCAGCCCGGGTGTTTGACCCCTTGGCACCCGTGTGGGAAACGAATGAAGCTCCTGGCTCCTGGCTTTAGCCTGGCCCAGCTCTGGCTGCTGGGGCCAGTTGGAGAGTGAACCAGCAGATGGACAACTCTGTGCTTGTCCTGTCTATGTAACTTTCAAATAATTATTTATGTGGGGGAAAAAAATCAGTTGATAAGGACTGTAGGGCAAGCAGCTCAACCAGCCGGACCCCTAATCTCCAACCTGAAGTTTATGACTGTAAAGATTTTGGAAAGTGTGCCTGTAGCTATCAAGTGATGCTAGGCACGATTTCAGTCACTGCTCATGAACTTTTCAGGTAACATGCATCAGGTGTTTGGTTAAGTTGCCACTTGGATGCCTGCATCGCATAGCCAGGCCTGGATCCGCTCTCCAGTCCAGGTATACCGCAGGTGATGGCTCAAGTGGTTAGACCTCTGCCATCCACATAGGGCACCCCGGCTGATTTCAAAACTTCTGGCTTCAGTCTGGCTCTTGTGAGCATTTGGGGAGCACTGTCCACCTGCCTCTCAAGTAAAAGAAATAAAGAAATATTCTTTAACTATGGAATTGGTTTTAGAAGGCTCTTGAGATGACCTTGGAGTTGAGAACTCATGACAGTTAGCCATGTAGTGACCTAGTGTGGAAGCTACTAACAATATTGATGGACACTTCACCAGTTTGGTGCTGCTGTCTAAATAAAGCTAGTGTGTGTTTCAAGCACAGTGATAAGCCACTGACCAGGATATAAGAATTTACTGATCTGGTTTGAATTTTAAATGGATGGTAGCTAGTGGGTGGATAATAAGTTGTATGTGAGAAAATAGAACAAAGTACCTATTTAGAAGCAAGTTAGACCAATGCTGATATTCTTTTGTGATGATTTAAATCATCAACAAACTAGTCCTGAATTTAAAACATTTTCTCCCTGGCTCATATTATTCTTGAAAAATGTCTAGAGTGAGCTGGTCTGTCTGTTTTGTTTTGTTGACTTATCTATTTTTATTTGAAAGGCAGAGCTACAGAGAGAGGAGTGACAGACATACATGGAGGGCTCTTCCGTCTGCTGGTCACTCCCCACAGGGTTGCCCCAGCCAGCGCTGAGCCTATTGAAGCCAGGGACTGCTGCTGGGTGTCCCATATGGGAGCAGGGGCTCAAGGACTTGAGCTGTTCTCCACTGCTTTCCCAGACACTTTGGCAGACGGCTGATCACAAGTGGAGCAGCCAGGACTTGAACTAGCTCCCGTAGGGGATACCAGTGCCACATGTGGAAGCTTAACTTGCTGTACCATGATAGCCTCCTTTAGGCCAATCTTTTTTTTTTTCTTTAAATACTTCTTTTTTTTTTTTTACTTGAAAAAGAAATTTCTGAGAAATAAAGAGCTTTGAAAAAATTCATTTTTATTTCAAAGGTAACTTTGCAATCAGAAGGAGAGACGGATCTGTTGTGGTTTACTCTATAGATGGCCAACAACAGTGAAGCCGGAGCCTGGATCTTCTCCTGGGTCTCCCGTGTGGGTGCAGGGGTCCAAGGACTTGAACCATCGTCTGCAAGTGGAGCAGCCAGGACTGTCACCAGGGCCTGTGTGGGACGCTGGCCCTAGAGGTGGAGATCTTACATCCGGTGGTTCATCCCACAGCAGCCAGGGCTGTGTGAGGCTAACACCAGGAGCCCAGAACTCCATCCACGTCTCCCATGGCAGTGATAGAGGCCTACATATTTTGGTCGTCTTTTGCAGCTTTCCTAGGCACATTAGCAGGGAGCTGAATCCGAAGTGGAGCAGCTAGAATTCAAATCTGCTCATATGGGATGCCAGCGTTGCAGGTGGCAGCTTAACCCCCTGGCTCTGTCCTCATTTGGCTTGTATGTGTGTTATATATACCATTGTGTTTATCAATCCCTCGATTAAATAGCACTCTACTGAAATGAACTATAAATATATGCTTCTAGACATGTTTTCAAGATCATTTTCCAGGTCTGAATATTTATTTCTGTTTTGATATACAAGTGTCCAAAGATATTGTGAAATGGTTAAAACAAAATAAATTCTCTCTAGCATATGTGCTTCCATGTATTTGTGGGTAGCATACCTGCAATTGTGCTTGCCTGCAGTTGAAAATAATTTTAAGGGGGCCCAGTGCGGTGGCCTAGCAGCTAAAATCCTCATCTTGAACGCAACAGGATACCATATGGGCACCGGTTACAATCTCGGCAGCCCCACTTTCCATTCTGCTCCCTGCTTGTGGCCTGGGAAAGCAGCTCCACTTTGGTTTCAGATCAGCCCAGCTCTGGTCATTTGAGGAGAAAATCAGTGGGTGGAAGATCTCTCTGTCTCTCCCCACCTTCATCATCTCCCTTTAACTCTTTCAAGTAAAAATTTTGAAAAAATAAAGAAAATAATGTCGAACATTGTGTAAGTACCCCCTGAGCCACACTGTACCGAGTGATGTGTACGCGGTGCCTCGTTGGCAGCGTTCTAGTAAAGCAGCTTGTGTCCATAAGAGAGGAAGTTTCTGAGAGAAATTTGAAAGTGGGAAGATTGTGCCGCCTAGGATGTGCTTGTGAAAGTGTGGCATGACGAATTGAGTGTGGCTGCAGTGTTGTTGGAACGTCATGCCAGATCTTGAGTGATGTTGACCTCAAGAGTTTGGAGCTTATTCTGAAAGTTAGGAAATTGAGCTTATTTATGTTATTAGAACAGGTGAGTTGAAAATTAAGGACAGATCTTGGAATTTCAGCTTAATTTGACAAAAATTTCTGAAGAATTCGAAGCAAAGGACTACAAGAGATCCCTTTGGAAATAGCATAACCTGTAGGGGATGAGCTGAAGAAGAAAGACGGTCTGAGCGGAGCAGCAGGGAGACGCGGGGTGCAAAGCTGCGGCCTGAGAGGCTGTGGCCGTCGGGTGACTGAGGGGCAGGACTTGACGTGCCAGCCTGGCTAGCAGTTACATGACTTTGGGCAAAAGGTCCTGTTTCCTTGCTTATTTTATTGTAATCTGTGGGATTTAATCCCCCCTCAACTTGGAAGTGGCTGAGATTGCATGATTTGAACATGCTGGAGTTATTTCTCTTTTTCTGTGTTCAGTTATTTTACTTCTGAAATGGAAATGTAGACTGCACAGTGTTGTGGTTCTAGAAATAGCCTGCTGCTTAAATCCTGTCCCACTCTGTGTCCCTTCTGTGCGTCTCTGCCTCATCTTGCAGTGTGCAGTCCTGCAGCCAGTGCACATGGCTCACCACTTCACCCAGGTTCAGTTCCTGCCTCAGCTCCTGACCCCAGCTTCCTGCAGTACAGTCCTCACAAGATGGCGGTGCTGGCTCGCGAGTCTGGGTCTCAGCTGCCCATGCATTGACTGTGCTTTCTTTTTCCTTATTTTATTTATTTATTTTTAAAAAGGATTTATCAAATCTTTATCAAAGTCAAATATACACAGAGGAAGAACTTCGGTCCGATGATTCACTCCCCAAGTGACCACAAAGGCTGATGCTGCACCGATCCGAAGCCAGGAGCCTGGAACTTCCTCCAGGTCTCCCACATAGGTGCAGGGTCCCAAGGCTTTGGGCCGTCCTCGACTGCTTTCCCAGGCCACAAGCAGGGAGCTGGATGGGAAGTGGAGCAGCCAAGATTAGAACTGGTGCCCATATAGGATCCTGGTTCATTCAAGATGAGTACTTTAGCCACTAGGCCACCACGCTGGACCCTAATTTATTTTTTATTGGAAAGTCAGGTTTACAGAGAAAAGGATTGAAAGATCTTCCGGGCCTGGTGCAGTAGCTAGTAGTTAAAGTCTTCACCTTGAACACATCAGCATCCAATATGGGCGCCAGTTCATGTCCTAGCGGCTGCACTTCCCATCCAGCTCCCTGTTTGTGGCCTGGCAAAGCAGTCGAGGACGGCCCAAAGGCTTTGGACTCTGTACCTGCGGTGGAGATCCAGAAGAAGCTCCTGGTTCCTGTGTGTGGTTGACTGCCAACTAATCTAGAGCTCTAGGATATATATAAATATATCTATCATATATACTGACAGGAAGAAATGTTGGTTTGCACTTTTCTAATGCCTCCAAGCTGCTGGCGATAGGTAACCGTTTGCATACCACGAAGACTTTGTGGCTCCCTTGCTGCGTTTCATCCTCGTATTCTTGCTTCAGGTTGCCTGTCATGTGCTCAGCGGAGGTATTCCCTGCAGCCTGTCCCGGAGAGGCAGATCCCACAGCGGTACCTGGGCCAGCCCAGCCCCTTTACACACCCACATCTCCTCCGACCAGGTAAGGCCGCTGGACCTCACATCTGTCTCCTCATCATGCCGTGTCTAGAGCGCTGTTCGTCGGGGATGGAGGTGCTTAGAGCTGCGCTCGTGACGTTGGCACGTGTCGCTGCTCTGAAAGTGGGAGTGAGCGTTGTGCTGCAGTTGATTAAACCTCTGCTTGGGGTGCCTGAGATTGAATCCTGCCTCCACATCTAGTTCCGCTTCCTGCCCACGTGCGTCCTGGGGGTGACAGGATCCCTACCTCCCTCATGGGACACCCAGCCTGGCCAAGACCTGGCTGTGCGACCATGAAGAGAAGGAACACCTCTCTCTCTCTCTGCTGTTATGGTTCCTCCTCTCTATGCGTGACTTTGCCTTTCTAGTAAACAAGATACACCTTTAATAAAGTAAACTTCAGTAACCACAGGTGGCTGCTGGTACCAGTGTATACCA